TTGCGTTGACTAGAGCCCAGAAACTTTGAGTCCAGGAACATAGACCTCACTCACTTGAGACCTTGATTGGTTGTCAGTAATAGCAGGTCCTTCTCCTCTTCAGGTGTTCTGTCAAAGAGCAGTTATTAAATGCAGTTATAGCTACACACACAAATCCCACATGTTGAAAATTGCCTTTCCACAAGTTTCTTAACACCTCTGTTAAACAGGAAGATTCGAGACCAGGCAATTATTAATGAGATTGCCAGAGTCAAGCAAGCAGAGGCTTGACTACCACAGCAGCCTATCCTCCCTGAGGTAGGTGTTGACAGGGTAGCATTAGATGCAATTGGCAGGGTAGATGTGGCAGTCATTCAATATGATTGGCAGGGTAGCACATTGTCAACTACAGCTCTGCCAGCGTCTCACGGCAGCAACTGCAAGTCTCACTTCTTAATACGACCTTGCTACCATGAACCAGCCAACTGATATTTTTTTAATAGTTCTACTGAGGGGAGGATGCAAGCACGAAATAGAAAATAAAGTAATTAGCACTGAAATAATCAAGATGTTAGCATAGAATGTTAGCATAGAATTCCAAGGGTGAATGAGTTTCTAATGCACTAGCCCGATAAGAAAGACTATCTGTCACTAAGTACAGAAATGTTTCAATAAGACTAATTTTTAAGGAACTGATTCAGAAAAAACTTCTAGCTGATCCGAACAAGCTAAAATATTAGTGTCTCATGCTTTTGGTCTTGTCCCGTCTCACCTTATATGTCTTTAAGGCAGACAGGCCAAGGCAAATCCATGAGTCAAATTCAAAGCAAAATATTTTAATATGAACACCAACTGTATGATACAACTTACATTTTTAAAACACTAACAGCTGTCAAGAAAACTAGCATATGCTTGCTTATAACTTCATCACTTTCTAACATTCTTCTGGCTTCTTCTTTGACATTTCAAGCAAGAGTTAATAGCTATGGCTTCTTTGGGAACACATTTGGCTGCTGCAGGATTACTGGATGCCAAAGTATAGAATAAGCTTTTCTCTGTAGCAACATCTGGGTCTGTGCTTCACGTGTTGCTAGGTGCTCAGCAGGAAGGCAACAAAGTAGTGCAGTGAATTTTAGATATTACATCAACATAAATGTTCTTTCCCCCCAGCAATCCATGAATGAAGTGGTTTGAAAAATTATTTCAGACAGCCTCCTCCTTTAGTACTGATAGCCCTTTAGTACGGTGTGTGGAAAATTTAGTATATAAACATTTTTTTAAAAAAATCCATATGAAGTCTAATGGGATCATTCTTTACTAACCCCCCAAACCAGCTAAATATTTCCTTGGCTAAAAATTGGGTTTTGTGGATCTTTTCTGTGGGAAAAGATCTATATCAACAACATTTTCCCTTTGGAAAATCCAAATGAAATGTTTTGGGCTGACAAACTGAAATGAACCAGTGGCCACGGTCTGCCGTTCCCAGGCAATGGGAGCTGCGGGAAGCGGCGGCCAGCACTTAGATAGTTGGGAACCTCCTTCCAGATGATGTCATGGTATCCTCTCACACTGTAGATACCTTGCTGGGGGAGGGAATCCTAGTTATTAGGAAGAGAAAAGTAATAGTAATCATAGGCACTGACGCCATGGGTGCTCTGGGGCTGGAGCACCCGCAGGGAAAAATTGGTGGGTGCTCTGCACCCACTGGTAGCTCCCTGCCCCCCCACCCCAGCTAACCTCTCCCCTGCCTCCTCCCCAGTGTGTGCTCGCCTTTTCCCCCTAGCTCCTAGTGCTTAAGCTGTGAAACAGCCATTTCACGTGGCAAGCGGTGGGAGGGAGGAGGAGGGGGAACGCAGTATGCTCAGGGAGGAGGCAGGGCTGGGGACGGGATCTGCAGAAGGGGTCCAATAGGGGCAGGGAGGAGGCTGAGTTGGGGCGGGGACTTCGGGGAAGGGGTTGGAATGGGGGCAGGGCAGGGGTGGGGAAAGGGTTGAGTCGGGGCGGGGCCAGGGACTGTGGGGGGGCATGAGCACCCACCGGCACTAGGGAAAGTTGGTGCCTTTGATAGTAATGGGGGATTCGATCATTAGAAATATAGATAGCTGGGTGGTTTGTGATGACCGGGAAAACTGCATTGTGAATTGCCTGCTTGGTGCAAAGGTTGCAGATCTCTTGAGACATCTAGACAGACTTATGTGCAGTCCTGGGGAGGAGCCATTTGTCATGGTAGATGAAGGAACCATCGACACAGGAGTGAGGTCCCAATGGACAAATTTAGGCTTCTAGGGGTATGTCTACACTACGGAATAAGGTCAAATTTATAGAAGTCGGTTTTTTAGAAATCGGTTTTATATATTCGAGTGTGTGTGTCCCCACAGAAAATGCTCTAAGTGCATTAAGTGCATTAACTCGGCGGAGCGCTTCCACAGTACTGAGGCAAGCGTCGACTTCCGGAGCGTTGCACTGTGGGTAGCTATCCCACAGTTCCCGCAGTCTCCGCTGCCCATTGGAATTCTGGGTTGAGATCCCAATGCCTGATGGGGCTAAAACATTGTCGCGGGTGGTTCTGGGTACATATCGTCAGGCCCCCGTTCCCTCCCTCCCTCCGTGAAAGCAAGGGCAGACAATCATTTCGCGCCTTTTTTCCTGAGTTACCTGTGCAGACGCCATACCACGGCAAGCATGGAGCCCGCTCAGGTAACCGTCACTCTATGTCTCCTGGGTGCTGGCAGACGCGGTACGGCATTGCTACACAGTAGCAGCAACCCCTTGCCTTGTGGCAGCAGACGGTACAGTACGACTGGTAGCCGTCATCGTCATGTCCGAGGTGCTCCTGGCCACATCGGCTGGGAGCGCCTGGGCAGACATGGGCGCAGGGACTAAATTTGGAGTGACTTGACCAGGACATTCTCTTTAGTCCTGCAGTCAGTCCTATTGAACCGTCTTATGGTGAGCAGGCAGGCGATACGGACTGCTAGCAGTCGTACTGTACCTTCTTCTGCTGAGCAGCCATGAGATGTGGAAGGCATGCAGTCCTTCTGCACCGTCTGCTGCCAGCCAAAGATGTAAAAGATAGATGGAGTGGATCAAAACAAGAAATAGACCAGATTTGTTTTGTACTCATTTGCTTCCCCCCCTCCCCTGTCTAGGGGACTCATTCTTCTAGGTCACACTGCAGTCACTCACAGAGAAGGTGCAGCGAGGTAAATCTAGCCATGTATCAATCAGAGGCCAGGCTAACCTTCTTGTTCCAATAAGGACAATAACTTAGGTGCACCATTTCTTATTGGAACCCTCCGTGAAGTCCTGCCTGAAATACTCCTTGATGTAAAGCCACCCCCTTTGTTGATTTTAGCTCCTTGAAGCCAACCCTGTAAGCCGTGTCCTCAGTCGCCCCTCCCGGCGTCAGAGCAACGGCAAACAATTGGGCATCTGAGAGTGCTGTCCAGAGCAGTCACAATGGAGCACTCTGATAGGGCTAAAACATTGTCGCAGGTGATTCTGGGTACGTATCGTCAGGCCCCCGTTCCCTCCCTCCCTCCGTGAAAGCAAGGGCAGACAATCATTTCGCGCCTTTTTTCCTGAGTTACCTGTGCAGACGCCATACCACGGCAAGCATGGAGGCCGCTCAGCTCACTTTGGCAATTAGGAGCACATTAAACACCACACGCATTATCCAGCAGTATATGCAGCACCAGAACCTGGCAAAGCGATACCGGGCGAGGAGGCGACGTCAGCGCAGTCACGTGAGTGATCAGGACATGGACACAGATTTCTCTGAAAGCATGGGCCCTGACAATGCATGCATCATGGTGCTAATGGGGCAGGTTCATGCTGTGGAACGCCGATTCTGGGCTCGGGAAACAAGCACAGACTGGTGGGACCGCATAGTGTTGCAGGTCTGGGACGATTCCCAGTGGCTGCGAAACTTTCGCATGCGTAAGGGCACTTTCATGGAACTTTGTGACTTGCTTTCCCCTGCCCTGAGGCGCATGAATACCAAGATGAGAGCAGCCCTCACAGTTGAGAAGCGAGTGGCGATAGCCCTGTGGAAGCTTGCAACGCCAGACAGCTACCGGTCAGTTGGGAATCAATTTGGAGTGGGCAAATCTACTGTGGGGGCTGCTGTGATGCAAGTAGCCCACGCAATCAAAGATCTGCTGATATCAAGGGTAGTGACCCTGGGAAATGTGCAGGTCATAGTGGATGGCTTTGCTGCAATGGGATTCCCTAACTGTGGTGGGGCTATAGATGGAACCCATATCCCTATCTTGGCACCGGAGCACCAAGCCGCCGAGTACATAAACTGCAAGGGGTACTTTTCGATAGTGCTGCAAGCTCTGGTGGATCACAAGGGACGTTTCACCAACATCAACGTGGGATGGCCGGGAAAGGTGCATGATGCTCGCATCTTCAGGAACTCTGGTCTGTTTCAAAAGCTGCAGGAAGGGACTTTATTCCCAGACCAGAAAATAACTGTTGGGGATGTTGAAATGCCTATATGTATCCTTGGGGACCCAGCCTACCCCTTAATGCCATGGCTCATGAAGCCGTACACAGGCAGCCTGGACAGTAGTCAGGAGCTGTTCAACTACAGGCTGAGCAAGTGCAGAATGGTGGTAGAATGTGCATTTGGACGTTTAAAGGCGCGCTGGCGCAGTTTACTGACTCGCTTAGACCTCAGCGAAACCAATATTTCCACTGTTATTACTGCTTGCTGTGTGCTCCACAATATCTGTGAGAGTAAGGGGGAGACGTTTATGGCGGGGTGGGAGGTTGAGGCAAATCGCCTGGCTGCTGGTTACACGCAGCCAGACACCAGGGCGGTTAGAAGAGCACAGGAGGGCGCGGTACGCATCAGAGAAGCTTTGAAAACCAGTTTCATGACTGGCCAGGCTACGGTGTGAAAGTTCTGTTTGTTTCTCCTTGATGAAACCCCCCGCCCGTTGGTTCACTCTACTTCCCTGTAAGCTAACCACCCGCCCCTCCTCCCTTCAATCACCGCTTGCAGAGGCAATAAAGTCATTGTTGCTTCACATTCATGCATTCTTTATTCATTCATCACACAAATAGGGGGATGACTACCAAGGTAGCCCAGGAGGGGTGGTGGAGGAGGGAAGGAAAATGCCACACAGCACTTTAAGCACAGCACTTTAAAAGTTTACAACTTTAAAATTTATTGAATGACAGCCTTCTTTTTTTTGGGCAATCCTCTGTGGTGGAGTGGCTGGTTGGCCAGAGGCCCCCCCACCGCGTTCTTGGGCATCTGGGTGTGGAGGCTATGGAACTTGGGGAGGAGGGCGGTTGGTTACAGAGGGGCTGCAGTGGCAGTCTGTGCTCCAGCTGCCTTTGCTGCAGCTCAACCATACACTGGAGCATACTGGTTTGGTCCTGCAGCAGCCTCAGCATTGAATCCTGCCTCCTCTCATCACGCTGCCGCCACATTTGAGCTTCAGCCCTGTCTTTAGCCCACCACTTACTCTCTTCAGCCCGCCACCTCTCTTCCCGGTCATTTTGTGCTTTCCTGCACTCTGACATTATTTGCCTCCACGCATTCGTCTGTGCTCTGTCAGTGTGGGAGGACAGCATGAGCTCGGAGAACATTTCATCGCGAGTGCGTTTTTTTCTTTCTTCTAAGCTTCACTAGCCTCTGGGAAGGAGAAGATCCTGTGATCATTGAAACACATGCAGCTGGTGGAGAAAAAAAAAGGGACAGCGGTATTTAAAAAGACACATTTTATAAAACAGTGGCTACACTCTTTCAGGGTAAACCTTGCTGTTAACATTACATACATAGCACATGTGCTTTCGTTACAAGGTCGCATTTTGCCTCCCCCCACCGCGTGACTACCCCCTCATCCTTCCCCCCTCCCTGTGGCTAACAGCGGGGAACATTTCTGTTTAGCCACAGGCAAACAGCCCAGCAGGAATGGGCTCCTCTGAGTGTCCCCTGAAGAAAAGCACTCTATTTCAACCAGGTGACCATGAATTAGATCTCACTCTCCTGAGGATAACACAGAGAGATAAAGAACGGATGTTGTTTGAATGCCAGCAAACATACACTGCAATGCTTTGTTCTACAATGATTCCCGAGTACGTGTTACTGGCCTGGAGTGGTAAAGTGTCCTACCATGAAGGACGCAATAAGGCTGCCCTCCCCAGAAACCTTTTGCAAAGGCTTTAGGACTACATCTAGGAGAACCGCAAATGCCAGGGCAAAGTAATCCTTTCACATGCTTGCTTTTAAACCATGTATAGTATTTTAAAAGGTACACTCACCAGAGGTCCCTTCTCCGCCTGCTGGGTCCAGGAGGCAGCCTTGGGTGGGTTCGGGGGTACTGGCTCCAGGTCTAGGGTGAGAAACAGTTCCTGGCTGTCGGGAAAACCGGTTTCTCCGCTTGCTTGCTGTGAGCTATCTACAACCTCCTCCTCATCATCATCATCTTCTTCGTCCCCAAAACCTGCTTCCGTATTGCCTCCATCTCCATTGAAGGAGTCAAACAACACGGCTGGGGTAGTGGTGGCTGAACCCCCTAAAATGGCATGCAGCTCATCATAGAAGCGGCATGTTTGGGGCTCTGACCCAGAGCGGCTGTTCGCCTCTCTGGTTTTCTGGTAGGCTTGCCTCAGCTCCTTCAGTTTCACGCGGCACTGCTTCGGGTCCCTGTTATGGCCTCTGTCCTTCATGCCCTGGGAGATTTTCAGAAAGGTTTTGGCATTTCGAAAACTGGAACAGAGTTCTGATAGCACGGATTCCTCTCCCCAAACAGCGATCAGATCCCGTACCTCCCGTTCGGTCCATGCTGGAGCTCTTTTGCGATTCTGGGACTCCATCATGGTCACCTGTGCTGATGAGCTCTGCATGGTCACCTGCAGCTTGCCACGCTGGCCAAACAGGAAATGAGATTCAAAAGTTCGCGGTTCTTTTCCTGTCTACCTGGCCAGTGCATCTGAGTTGAGAGTGCTGTCCAGAGCGGTCATAATGGAGCACTCTGGGATAGCTCCCGGAGGCCAATACCATCGAATTGTGTCCACAGTACCCCAAATTCGAGCCGGCAACGTTGATTTAAGCGCTAATCCACTTGTCAGGGGTGGAGTAAGGAAATCGATTTTAAGAGCCCTTTAAGTCGAAATAAAGGGCTTCATTGTGTGGACGGGTGCAGGTTTACATCGATTTAACGCTGCTAATTCGACCTAAAGTCCTAGTGTAGACCAGGGCTCGGTAGGAGATTAAAATCCAGGACCTCCATGGTTGCATTCTCTGAAATTCTTCCAGCTGCATGTGTAGGGCCAGGTAGACAGGCCGAACTGCAGGGTCTCAATGTGTGGATGAAACAATGGAGTAAGGAGGAGGGATTTAAGTCTTAGGAAATGGGGAACCCCTTCAGAAAGGAGGAGCCTATACAGGAAGGATGGGCTCCACCTAAACCAAAATGGAACCAGATTGCTGGCATGTAAAATTAAAAAGGTCATAGAGGAGTTCTTAAACTAAGGGCTGCAGAGTAGCATGTGGTTTGGACAGAGGCATCCTGTAGGGGAGGATCTATTAACGGGGTGTGTCTATATCCTAGTGAAGAGAAGAGGATAGAAGTTGATAAAGTACAGGTGGAAACTGAAGAGAAACAGTCAAATGAGAGTCCCATTCAATTACATCGCATGAAGACAGACAAATAAAAAGAGGCAAATTTTATAAGTGCTTGTGTACAAATGCTAGAAGTCTGATGATGGGTGAACTTGAGTGCCTGGTATTAAATGAAAATATTGATATAACAGGATCACAGGAACTTGGTGGAATGATGACAATCAATAGGACACTATAATATCAGAATATAAAATAGATAGAAATGACTGTGTAGGTCGTACTGGAGTGGGAGTGGCACTATATGTGAAAGAAAACAAAGTAAAATATAGTAAAAATTTTAAATGAATCAAATTGTACCATGGAATTTCCATCCATAAAGATTCTGTGCATCAAGAAAAAGAGTATAGCAGTAGACTACTGATCACCTAACCAAGATGGTGATGATGATTGTGAAATGCACAGGGAGATTAGAGACCCTACAAAAACAGACAACCCAATAATAATGGGGGATTTCAGCTATCCCCATATTGACTGGTTACATATCCCCTCAGGAAGGGATGAAGAGAGAAAGTTTTTAGACACCATAACTGCTTCTTAGAGCAGCTAATCCTGGAACCCACAAGGGGAGAAGCAATTCTTGATTTAGTCCCAAGTGGAGCACAGGAGCTGATACAAGAGGTGAATATAGTTGAACCACTCAGTAATAGCAACCATAATATAATTAAATTTAATATCCATATGTGGGGTGGGGGCAGGAATACCTGAGAAGCCCACCAGAGTAGCATTTGACTTCAGAAAGGGGAACTACATAAAAACGAGGAAGCTAGTTAATTTATGTCTAACAGAAACAGTCACAAGTGAAATGCCTGCAAGCGGCAAGAAAAAAATTGAAAACACTTAAATAGAGGCTCAAATTAAATGTACACTCCACTTTAAAAAAACAGTAATAGTAAAACCAAAAAAGCTGTCATGGTTACAGCAGAGTAAAAGAGGCAGCTAGAGGCAAAAAGGCATCCTTTAAAAAATTGGAAGTCAGATCCTACTGATGAAGATAGAAAGGACCATAAACTCTGGCAAGTCAAGTGTAAAAGTATAATTATATAGACCAAAAAAGAATTTGAAGAGCAACTAGCAAAAGATTCAAACTAACATTAAAAGTGTTTAAGTACATCAGAAGCAGGAAGCCTGCCAAACCATCAGTGAGGCCACTGGGTGATCAAGATGCTAAAGGAGCACTCAAGGAAGACAAAGCTGTTGCAGAGAATTTTTTGCATTGTCATCACTACAGAAGATGTGAGGAGATTCCCACACTTGTGCCATTGTTTTTAGGTAACAAATCTGAGGAACTGTCCCACACTGAGCTGTCAATAGAGGAGATTTTGGAACAATTGATAAATTGAACAGTAATAAATACCCAGGACCAGATGGTATTCACCCAAGAGTTCTGAAGGAACTCAGTTTTGCAATTTCATATTTAACTGGTATATAACCTGTCATTTTAAGTCAGATTCTGTACCAGATGACTGGTGGATAGCTACTGTGATGCCAATTTTTAAAAAAGGCTCCAGACAACATCTGGGCAATTACAGGCTGGTAAGCCTAACTTCAGTACCAGGCAAATTGGTTGAAAGTACTGTAAAGAGCAGAATCACCAGACACTCAGATGAACCCAATTTGTTGGGGAAGAATCAATATGACTTTTGTGAAGGGAAATCACGCCCCCTCAGTGTTTTAGAATTCTTTGAGGTGATCAATAAATATGAGGATAAGGGTGATCCAGTGGATGGGGTGTTCTTAAACTTTCAAAAGCCTTTTGAAATTGTCCCTCACCAAAGGCTCTTATCCAAAGTAAGGAGTAATGGGATAAGATGGAAGGTCCTCTCGTGGATCAGTAACTGGTAAAAAGACAGGAAACAAAGGTAAGGAATAAATTAGCTACTCCAGACGGCTATTGTTCCTAATCCTGAAAGATGTCCTAACCATAATGGGGAAGCCAGCCAATATTGCTACTTCCATCAACTTCAGCTATATCCTGAATATCCTTTGGGCTTGTCTCAGCTACAGGAATAACATCAGCACAGCTACGGTATTGCAGCTCTGCTACTATAGCACCATAGTATAGACAGTTGCTGCAGTGACAGAAGGGATTTTTCCATTGCTGTAGTTAATCCCTCTCTGCCTCCAAAGGGGTTAGCTGGGCCGACCAAAGAATTCTTCCATTGACCTAGTGGTATCTATATCGGGGCTTAGGTTGGCTTAACTATGGGGGAGGGATAGCTCAGTGGTTTGAGCATTGGCCTGCTAAATCCAGGGTTGTGAGTTCAATCCTTGAGGGGGGCATTTAGAAATCTGGAGCAAAAATTGGGGATTGGTCCTGCTTTAAGCAGTGGGTTGGACTAGATGATCTCCTGAGGTCCCTTCCAACCCTGATATTCTATGAACTATGTCTCAGAAGTATGAATTTTTAACCCCCCTCTCCAATGTAGCCAGCTCTACATTTAGGAATAGACTATAGTAAAAAACAGAATTACCAGACACATAGATGAACACAGATTTGTTGGGGAAGAGTCAACATGAACGGAAGCTTTCGTGAAGAGAAATTATCCCTCACCAATCTACTAAAATTTGAGGGCGTCAAACAAACATGGGTAAACAGTGATCCAGTGTATTTGGATTATCAGTAAGCTTTTTACAAGGTCCCTCACCAATGGCTCTTAAGCAAGGTAGGCAGTCTTGGGATAAGAAGGATGGTCCTCTCATGGATCAATAACTGGTTAAAAGACTGGAAATAAAGGTTAGGAATAAGTGGTCAGTTTTCAGAATGGAGAAAGATAAATAGTGGTATCCCCCAGAGATCTGTACTGGGACCAGTGGTGTTCAACATATTCATGAATGTTTGGAAAAAGGGGTAAATAGTGAGGTGGCAAATTTTCAGATGATATAAAATTACTCAAGATAGTTGTCTAAAACAGACTGCAAAGAGTTACGAAGGGATCTCACAAAACTGGGTGACCGGGCAACAAAATGGCAGATGGAATTCAATGTTGATAAATGCAAGTAATGCTTATTGGAAAACATCCCAACTATACATACAAAATGATGGGGTCTAAATTAGCTGTTACCACTCAAGGAAGAGACCTTGGAGTCACCTCGTTCTCTGAAAACATCCACTGAATGTGTAGCGGTAGTCAGAAAAGCTAACAAGGTTAGCAACCATTAAGAAAGGGATAAATAAGACAGAAAATACCATAATGCCACTATATTAATCCATGGCACACCCACACCATGGACTGCACACCATGCAGTTCTGGTCACCTCATCTCAAAAAAGATGTTGTAGAACTGGGAAAGGTACAGAGATGGGCGACAAATGTTTAAAGGTATGGAATAGCTTCCATCTGAGGAGAGATTAAAAGTCAACCTGTGGAACCCATTGCCAGGGAATGTTGTGAAGGCCAAAACTACAATGGGGTTCAAAAAAACATTAGATAAGTTCATGGAGGATAGGTCCATCAATGGCTATTGACCAAGATGGTCAGAGATGCAACCGCATGCTCTGAGTGTCCCTAAGCCTTTGACCGCCAGATGCTGGGACTGGATGACAGGGGATGGATCACATGATAATTAGCCTGTTCTTCAGCTCCACCACCTCCTGCAAAGCTCCAGGCTCGGTCTTCAGCACCCAACTGTCACCTTAGACCTGAGAGCTGGGTCCCATCACCACCCCTGTAGCTGCAGGCTGGAGCTTTCTGCACTGGCGACCCCATCAGAAAGGGGTTGCGAACCACTTTCAGGTTTGACCCACACTTTGAGAACCACTGGCTTAGACAAATACAAAACCTGCTATGTTTAGTGTGGCATGAGATTAACATGTTCATTGAAAGTCAAGATCTGGTTGGCATCTATTCAATCAGACCTCATGCACAATAATTTTATATTTGGAAGTAAGAGATAGACAACACCAATTCTAGAGTCTATTTAACATGCATACTGAAAAAAACGATTTATGTATCAGTCATTCATTTCTGCAATATCAGCAAAATATTAATGCAATTTTTGATTAAAATTTCAGTTTAATTCAAATGTGATCAATGAATAAGTGGGAAAACAAGACTACATTTTTACTAATTCCAGTAGCAATTACTTTTTGTACAGCTAAATAAGTATTTCACAGGCCAATGCCTCTTAGAATATCATTGAAGATCAAGGATTACTGCCAATATGTTGACTTTTCTGTACTTCAGATGAACAAGCCCTGGTATTTCTTCAGTCTTTTTCTTACAGAATCCATGAGCTTCTTAATTTGGCTCCTTTCAGATTTAATGAAATATCAACTTTGATTATATCTGCAAAGTTGTATTCAATGGCCAGTGGCTCATACGCAAGGTTAATAGAATCATAGAAGGTTAGGGTTGGAAGGGACCTCAGGTGGTCATCTAGTCCAACTCCCTGCTTGAAGCAGGACCCATCCCCAATTTTTGCCCCAGATCCCTAAATGGCCCCCTCAAGGATTGAACTCACAACCCTGGGTTTAGCAGGCCAATGCTCAAACCATCATGTTGCTTCTTGTTTATTTTTTGCAGCATGTGTGGCATTTCCCAGA